TGAAGAGAATCGGTTGGAATACTATGAGCCCGAGTTCATCAATGGATCTTTGCGAATCCCTAAGTCGGTGATTGAAGAGGGAGCGAAGCATTGGGATAATAGCTTGGTTGGGCAGTTTCTTGTCGATCCCCCTTCAATCTCGGCACTCCGCTTCTGGGCTAACTGGATATGGGGTAAGGAAGGTGCAGTGAAGGTCTCTATGCTGGAGGACAGGCTGGTGCTCTTTCAATTTCCCTCTGAATCAACTTGTCGGTGGGTATTCGAAGGAGGCCCATGGCATTACAAGGAGAAAATCATCTGTCTGAGGCGTTGGGTTCCGGGAATCAGAGCGCTGGAGATCAACAACTCAACTATTCCAGTATGGGTCAATTTAACAGGTATTCCTGCTGAGCTAGCTTTAAGGGAGGGACTAGGGAGAATCGCGAGTTCAATTGGAAAGCCTATGTGTATGGATCATTCGATTTCCCAGAGGAAGAAGATTGGTGCAGTGAAGGTCTGTGTTGAGGTCAGTGCCAAGAAGCCTTTAGTGAACAAGATTAGTATTACCCCTGATGATATGGAAGAGATGTATATTGGGGTTGAATATTGTGGATTACCTCGCTGTTGCTCTGCCTGTGGTGTCTTTGGCCATGATTGTTCGATGCCCCCCCCCCCCCCCCCCCCGGGAGTTTCAACCAAGAGAGTTTGGAGGCCGAAGCAATCCCAGGTTACTCCATTAGTGGAGGTGATTAGTAGTGAACAAGAAGCGGTTTCTGTGCAGACAGTGGATGAGGGTGTGTCTGCGAAGGGTAAAGAAGTAGTTGTTGACTCCACACCTCCAGTCACTCTGAGTGCTCTCCCCTCACAGGAAGAATTTAACAAAGTCATTAATGGGGCTAAATCGAAGTCGGCTCCCAGAAAATCAGCACCTATTTTACATTCTAATGCATTTGAGCTACTTTGTGGAAGGGAAATCAAGTTGCAGGCTCCCCAGAAGAAACAAGGTGGGCGTGAGGGACTTAGGAGTAAGGGAGCCACTAAGGTGGCTGCTCCTCCTAAATTACTACTCTCATATGGAATACAAGGGGCTTTAATAGCCCCTTGAAGCACGCTTCTGTGCTTACTTACATTAGAGTTCATAAGGTTTCTCTTTTTGCACTTCTTGAGACTAGAGTACAAAAACAAGATAGTATAGATGAAATCAGGGAGAAGTTTGTCGGATATCAGTTCACGGATAACTATTCTAAGAGTAGGTTAGGAAGGATTTGGATTGGGTGGAGAGATGATATGAAGGTACAAGTTTTGAAGGAGGATGAGAATTTTATCCATTGTTTAGTGGCAGAACAGAAGGGGTCTCAATTCTTCTTTACTGTTGTGTATGGGTCGAATGAAGAAAGGGAGAGGCTACAAACCTATAAATCTATGGTACAGTGGAAGGTGAGGGGCTTTCCCTGGATGATTGGAGGGGACTTCAATGCAATTCTTTGTCCTGCTGAAGCATCTAACTCAGTCCCTATTACTACAAGCATGACTGATTTTAGGAGCTGGATTGAACTGATGGAGGTAGTAGATCATAAAGCAACGTGGCCTGTCTTTACTTGGGCCAATCAACAGAGGCTTAATCCCATTGCCAGAAAACTCGACAGACTGTTGGTGAACGAGGATTGGTTTGAACAATTCAATGACTGTGTGGTGGAGTTCCTTCCCCCTGATTTCTCTGACCATTGTGGGATCCTAGTCCAGCCACATGTCCCTACAAAAAGCTTTCCCAAACCTTTTAGATTTTATGATATGTGGTTGGACCATCCCTCTTTCCCTGACATTCTACATAAATGTTGGCAAGGCTCAGCTCATTCGGGTTTGTTTGGAGTTAGGAAAAAGCTTATCTCTCTCAAGGCTGAACTGAGGAAGCTAAATAAAGATGAGTACTCAGATATTTCCAACAGAGTTAAGGAGAAAAGGGAAGCTCTGAAGGCTAAGCAACTGCAAGCATTAGAGCATCCCACAGAAGAGCTGTTTGAAGAGGTGAGTGTGATTACCAAGGATTTCTTGCATTTGGCTTCAGCTGAGGAAGCGTTCTATAGGCAGAAATCTCGTATCAGCTGGTTAGGACTAGGAGACACCAATTCTTCTCATTTTCATTCCTCTGTTAAAATTCGAACTGCAAAGAAGCAAATTAGGAAACTTATTGCTTCTAGTGGGGAGGAAATAACAGAGGTACAGGATATTGCAGATGAAGCTATTCGTTTTTATAAGAATCTATTTGGGGTGGTCAATCCTGAAGTAATGGTTGACAACAATTTTGTTGATAGCTGTATTCCAAGTAGATTAACTGTGGAAAATCAAAAGCTCTTGTGTGGCAGAGTTACTGCTGAGGAAGTGAAGTCAACATTGTTTGAAATGGATCCATCAAAATCTCCAGGGCCGGATGGATGGAACGCTGCTTTCTTTCAAAGATGCTGGGGTTTGGTAGGGCCAGAAATCATTCAAGGGATACAATACTTCTTTTCTTCGGGGCAACTACCTAGAGGTATGAATTCAGCATCTCTTACCCTCATTCCTAAGAAGCCTAATGCAGATAATCTCTCTGCCTATCGTCCCATAGCCTGCATAAATGTCATTTATAAAATCATTTCCAAAGTGATTGCTAACAGGCTAAAAAAGGTTCTACCTTCTATAATTAGTAGGAATCAGTCGGCATTTATTCAGGGGAGAAGCATAGTTGAAAATATTCTCATGGCACAAGAAATTGTGCAGAATTACAATAGGAAACACATTACCTCTAGAGGGGCTGTGAAAGTTGACCTCAAAAAAGCCTTTGATTCGGTTAATTGGGAGTTTCTGATGTGTGTGATGGTGAAGATGGGTTTTCCCTCAGTCTTTTGTCACTGGATCAAAACTTGTCTGTCATCAGCCTATTTTAGTATCACTGTTCATGAGAGTCTTTTTGGTTTCTTTAAAGCTGCTAAAGGGGTAAGACAGGGGGATCCAATCTCCCCCTATCTCTTCACTATGGCCATGGAGCCTCTCTCTTGTATGCTGGATAGGGCTGCTGAGAGTCAAATGCTACCTTTTCACCCTCAGTTTAAGTCGATTGGTCTAACTCACTTTGTCTTCGCGGATGATCTACTTATATTTACAGAAGGGTCAGCAATGGCTCTTGGTAGAGTGAGGCAAATACTAGATGACTTTTACAAGTTATCAGGGCTTCAGTGCAATCCTGAAAAGTGTGAAGTCTTCTTTGGGGGGCAGGCAAATCAGTTTAAACAGAACGCTATCAAGGTTTCAGGGTTTAAAGAGGGTCACCTGCCTGTGCGTTATTTGGGACTTCCACTGATTTCTGGAAAGCTGACTAGTAGGGAGTGCTCCATTTTAGTTGATAAGCTCACCAGTCGTATTCGAGGATGGAGGGCTAATAAATTGTCATATGCAGGGAAACTCCAACTTATTGATTCTGTACTGTATTCAATTGTTAACTACTGGATGGCTATTTTTGTTTTTCCCAAGAGGTTGATTAAAGCAATACAGAAGGTATGTACTGATTTCCTGTGGCATGGTGCTGGAACTGGGCGGGCTAAGGTGGCATGGGAGAGTCTGGCTGTACCTAAGAAGGAAGGAGGTTTAGGGATGAAGGATTTACTCACATGGAATGTTTCCTGTGTCACTAGGCTACTCTGGCTGCTCCTCATGCAAGGGGGTAGTTTATGGGTGGCCTGGGTGTTCAAATACAGGATTCGAGGGGAGACTATCTGGCAGGTTAAAAACAACTCTACTGGCTCCTGGATCTGGAAACAGCTACTGAAGTTAAGGTCCTGGGTTCAGTTTAGAATGGATGTTGATTCATTAGGGAGAGTAACATGGCAGGGGAAGCTGTTCAGCAAATTTTCAGCTCCACTGTTTGGCAAACTATCGGGCCTAAAAAACCAGTGGTTGATTGGTGGAAGGTTATTTGGAATAAATTTGTGTTGCCTAAAAACAGAGTGGTGACCTGGCTGGTTATCATGGATCGAATAGCTACTAAAGCTAAGTTGAAACACTGGGGTGTCTTGCAGGAAGACCAGTGTGTCCTATGTGAACATGACACTTAGACTCGAGAGCACCTCTTTTGTCAATGCAACTACACTGTGGAGTTTGTGACTTGTTTATTGCAGGAACGTGTTGCTTTGCCTAACAGCTGGGGCGATATGATGACGTTGATTTGCAGAAGGGCGAGGACAGGTGGAAATAATAGTTCTGTCGAGGTGGTCCTATGGTGTTGGTGTGTGTCCTACATCTGGAAAGAAAGATGCAGAAGATGCTTTTGGGGGCAGTCAAAATCAGTTTCTCAGTTGGCAGAACAGATACGAGCAGAGATCAACATGTATTGCTGTGGGAAACCAGAGTTTGATTCTTGGGTGAAGAGTTCAGACTACTCCTGTATTCTTTTCTAGAACTCTTCTTAGTTCTTTCTTGACTTGTGCTGGCTTTGGCCAAATGTATTTTTTCGACTCTTAGCTGGGTTTTTCAGCTTTTGAGGGGAGCTTAATGAAACTGATAATTACCGGGGAAAAAAACTATTAGGGATATTTTAGATATTTGGGTCGCCCAAACCAAAGTTCGGTCTTGGTTAACGGTTTTTGGATGAAAATTTTAACAAAAGGGCATGTTTGATTAGTTTTCCAAAGTACAAGGGCATATTTGATGTAAAAAAATAGTAGAGGGACATGTTTGATAAAACGTCATAGTAAAGGGGCATATTATACCTATAACCCTTTTTCAAAGTCTGAAGAAAGAGATAAACAAACAAAAGAGAATGGTTGATGTGAATAGTTAAGGTATATATATTTTGGTAATATATACTTGTATAGTCAAAACTTTCGCGTTTGTGCCAATAATAGCCAAATTTGAAAAAATATCATTTATAGTCACATTTTTTGAACTTATATGACAAATATAGCCATTTTCGTCAAACACTTTAACACCGTCTCTAACTCCGTTAGTTTAAGTGAACGTTATGCTTATTTGGCTGCCACCTGGACGACATGTCATGTCCACCTAGACTCACAGGTCACATAATCGCCACGTCATATTTTACATTTTTAAAAAACAATAATTTTGTAGAGTTAGAACTCTCCTTCTCCCGTCTCTCTAATCTAGCCCCCTTTTACCCCCAACAAAAAAAATCCATAATCCAATCCAAAGAACCCCTAATCTGATTATGCAACCATCTTCCTCTCCCCAACAACAAAACCCCCAATTCAATCAACAGAAAACCCCAAAAGAAATCATCCCAATTCCAAAACAAAAAAACTCAAAGTACAACATCTTCTTCTTCCCATATTTCCCCATTGGAGCTGCTACTGGTGCACGACCCAAAAGGTAGAGCTCGGGATTTTGGGAGCCGAATCTATGCCAAAAGAAGTAGTAGAATTCATCATCGTCGGAGCTCCAAGCATCCCTAACGATTCCTCTTCTGGCAACCAGAATCGGCTGCTCTCGGAGTCCTCTGCTTCTTCTCCGTCCTTGACAATCACCACAAGCTCGGTTTGCCGGCACCACCTCTTCCCACTGATAGTTCTGGAACGACGCTTTGAATCTCGATGCTCCGATTGAGGGGTTCATTTGAATCGGAGGATCCAAGTCGGCAATCCATCCCAATTCCAAAAACAGACGAGAACCCAGGCCGGGAAATTTCACTACAGGGAGTGGGAAGGAGAGGAAATTAGGTTAAAATTGAAAATTCGAGTACTTTTGGATCTGGTGGGGGTGAAGAAAAACTGCCATTAGAGAAGGAACAGAGAGAGCTCAACTCGTGGGTGTGGTGGGGGTGTGTATGCAAGTGCAAAGACGAGGGGGATTTAGAGAGATGGCAAGGGGAATTTCATATGCCGGCCGGTGGACTTTGAGAGGCAGAGAGAGTGAGAGATCGGAAATAGAGAGATATGTAGGGAGGAGATTTTTTAGGGAATTTTTATTTTTATGTTCTTTTTCCTTTTCCTTTTCTTTTGTATTTTGTATTTTCTAAGTTAAATCCAAGTGGCAATGTTACTCACGAAACGTTGCCACGTCAGCGTTTCTGTTAGTACAGCTTGCTAGATGAAACCGTTAAAGAATTGGACGGAAGTGACTATAGTCTATAAGTGGTATTTCTCCAAATTTGGCTATTATTGGCACAAACACGAAAGTTTTGGTTATACAAGTGTATATTTTCATATATTTTTGGCAATATGCACTTGTATAGCCCAAACTTTCGCGTTTGTGCTAATAAGTAATAATAGCCAATTTTGGAGAAATACCACTTATATTCACTTCCGTCCTAATAAGTTGATTGTACAAACGGAAATGCTGATTTGGCGATGCATCAACAACACTGTCACGTAGATTAATAAAAAATAAAAAAGAAAAATAAATGAAAACATAAAATAAATGAAAAATAAATTGATTAAACCCCCAAACTCTACGAGCATCCCTTTCTCTCCCTCCAATCTTCACCTGATCTTCCCTAAGATCTCTCTCCCTCTTGATCTTCCCCACACCATCTTCCTTCAACTAAGGGGTCGTTTGGTTTTGGTGATAGTTTGGTTGGGATAGTTACAATGCATGCAATGTCCACGATGCATCGTTTTTTTTTTAATTTTCTGTGCAAACAATACATGCATTGTTTGCTTGATTTGACACAAACTATCACTCAAAATGAGTGATAGTTAAATCTCAAGTTTTCGTTGAGATTGTTGAGATTGTTTGATGGAGATTGTTGTGTTTTCTTCTCTTCCAAATATGTCCCTACCTTTTTATGTGTGTTGCTTTTTTATATTAAAAACAAAGGATAAAAGTGACATTTCACCCAAAAAGTGATATAATTTATTTAAATACTACAATAACTATCACAGAAACCAAACGATGTAAACTACAATACACCAATTTTCTTATATACATGTATATTATTATGCATGCACTGATGACAATATATCGATTTAACTATCAGCAAAACCAAACGACCCCTAAACCGCCGTCGATTCCTCTGTATCATCCTTCCTCTCCTTCTCACCTCCATCAAAACACTAATAATAGTAAGAACCCCCAAACCCAAAATCAACCAAAAACCCTAAAAAAAAAAAATCAACATGTAAACCCAAAGGCGGCGTTTCCATCGTTGCTACGGGCTACGGCCGTCACCACCATCGTCAGTGCTACCGCCATCATCGTCGCTGCTACTTCCGTCGTTGTAGCTATTACTGCTGGTGGCCATCACCCATTAACCTTGATGTCCTCTTTCCCGGGAAATCTTTGATTCCACATCGTCGACGCCCAATCGGGATTGTCGATTGGAGGGCTGCTGCGAGGATGGGGATTTGCCCAATCTGGATCGACACTTAGGGATTGTGAAATAGGACATGGGATTTTCGATTGGAAGGAGTGGAGGGAGAGAAAAGCAAAGAGGGATTATTCTTCAGTTAACGGCCCGGGCAGAACGACGACGATTGGCGAAAAAATCCTCCACCGAAGCAGATGAAGCTAAATCGAAAGAGCAGGGGAAGAACGGTCGAGAAGCCAGAGTTCATCGGTGGTCGGGTAGAGGAAATCCGGCGTGGTCCTCGGCTGGATTGAAGGACATCGTCAAATCCGGCATGGTCCTTGATCTTTGAGTATTTTTTTTTTCAAACCTTTGGGGATTATGATATAAAGAAAAAAATAATTTTTAATTAAATTATGACATGGCCTCTACGTGGCAAGTTTGTTCGAGTTGGCGCTGACGTGTGCATTGAGGTGGCATCCTATTCATCATAATGTTAACCTAACTGACGGAAACTTTAACGGTGTTAAAGTTTGTAATGGAAATGGCTATATTTGTCATGAAACTTTCAAAATTCTGGCTATAAGTGGTATTTCTTCAAAATTGACTATTATTGGCACAAGCGCGAAAGTTTTGACTATACAAGTGTATATTGCCTATATTTTTTTATAAAGGGTATTTATATATGTTGAGAACAAGCCGAATTAGTAATTGTCATTGTTGCTAAAGACTATTTTCTTCACACAAAAAAAAAACTCAAATGAAACCTTAAATTGCATGATTTTCTTGATCTTAATTCACTTAAGTGATCGAGATTGTTATGAGCTTTTGTTAGGAGTATGCAATGGTAACAATAATCCAGTCGCATCATGCTATCGATAACAAAGACAATAACTTTAAAGTGATCGGTTCGGTTCGAATACCAGAACTCTTGAACATATGTAATTTATTCCTCCTTCAAATATATGAATATAGGAGTGTAAATGGTATTTTTTTTATAGAAGCAGCATAAATGGTATTTAGTTTATCGTCCTAACGTTTTAAATTTATCGCCTTAAATTAAAAAATGGACGAATTTGCCCCTAACCACAATTGTATCGCCCTAAAAAGATTGCCGACAGTCTTTCAACAACAACAAAATTTGCCGCCGGCCATCCAAAACTAGATTTTGCTCCCGTCGCCGCAAGCTTGATGGGAAGGACAAAGAAGAAGAAGTTCCCAGTCGTCATCGTCGTCACCAACCTCTAGCGCCTAATCAGCGTCGGAAGAAGGAACCCCTCTTGTCGTCCTCCGTTACCTGAAGACTTCACCGGGTCAAGGGTTGTTCTTCCCTGCCAACGATGACTTTGAGCTGGTTGCCTACTGCGATGCGGATTGGGCGGGTTGCCAGAACACACGTCGTTCTACGACAGGTTATTTTATCCAGATAGGAGGTGCCCCTGTGTCCTGGCGCACCAAGAAGCAGCCCGTTGTTTCTCGTTCTTCGGCCGAGGCTGAGTATCGTACCATGGCCACTACAGTTAGTGAGGTGATTTGGCTCCGTTTTTTGCTTCTTGAGCTGGGGTTTCCTCAAGCCCAAGGCACTCGACTGTTCTGTGATAACCAGGTGGCCATCCATATTGCGGCCAACCCTGTCTTCCATGAGCGTACTAAGCACGTCGAGATGGACTGCCATTTCATGCGTGAGCCTGTTATTAGTGGAGATATTCAACCTCGGAAAATCAGCTCGGCTTCGCAGCTCGCAGACATGTTTACGAAGGCATTGGGAACGGAGCAGTTTCATTTTCTTCTTTCCAAGCTGGGCGTTCGTGATCTTCACGCTCCAGCTTGAGGGGGAGTGTTGAGTACTCGTTTGTTACTTGTGTAAATATCGAGGACTATTTGGTGAATTGTGTTTTAACCCTAATGCCCATGAACATGTAGCGGGTATATATAGGGGCTTTTAGTTTCCGCTGCTGTAGAACTTTTGAGCTAGCTACCTTTCGCTAAGCAATAAGAGAACTCGAGAGCTGTGCTCTCCGTGGAGTAGTCTCGTTCATACTGAACGAGGAAACCACGTAAATCAGTGTCTTGTGTGATTGCATCTTTTCGGTTTATCTCTTTTTACAAATACCTATATCATTGTCATCAAACATTACATTTTCTATCATATACAATAATAAAATTCATATAGGGTCGACGCGCTAGTGTTAAAATTTATGAATTTGGAAATCATGTGCATTTGATTATTTTGATATAATGACCATACCATATTGGCATATACGGGGAAAATCACACATAAACTGAATTCTTATTTAACGCCCTAACTTTTTAAAATTTTCGTCCTAAATTAACAAAACTTATGAATTTATCCCCACCCGCTAAATCCCTAAAACAGAGTGTTTCTGCTGCTCCGCTGCCCTGTCGACGCCGTCCGCCCTAGAACCTTCCCGTCATCGGCTCTGCGCCCTGCAAATGCCTTCCGCTCGAGAGTTGTCGCCGCGATAATCTTCCGCTTCTGCAAGATACAGAGACCGCCGCCCTTCAAACCCAGCAACGAGTCGCTGCTCCGTTCGACCTCCACCACCCTCTGCTCACCAGCCGCCGCCCTGCCCGCCTCTCCTGCTAATCAGACGGGTTAAAATCCAATCAACGGTGAGGTCGGCGGCAACTCTCTTCTCCTCCCCTTTTCTTCCTCGTCCCGACGGATATGGGCGACGACAAGAGGTGTATATGAAATCTGGGCTAGGAGGACACGCATAGCAGCGGCCATATGATCTGGGCTAGGACGATGAACAAACTGTGACAAAATATTAACAGTATAGGAAATATCCGGACGGGTTACCGTTAAGTAGAGCAGACGACCAACAAGACGACGATAGCTGCTAACGTCCACCCACGCTTAACTGCAACGGCGATAAGGACACGCACAATGACAACCTTGGCTACCGGCGCGAACGTATCATGAAAGTCAACGCCCTCGATCTGTGTGTACCCTTTCGCCATGACACGAGCTTTGAAGCGCTCGATGGATCCGTCCGGTTCGTATTTCACCTTCCATACCCATTTGGAATCTATGATGCGTCTCCCGAGTGGTGGATACACCAAATCCCACGTCTCATTTGCAACAAGGGTCGTGAATTCCTTCTGCATGGCTGCGACCCATCGTGGGTCCTTAATGGCTTCAGCATAGCTTCGCGGCTCCTGTACCTTTTCAATAGCAGCAAGGTAAGCTAAATGAGACGGACTAAACCGGTGATAGCTCACCTGATTTGACATAGGGTAGACAACGTTGGAAGCTGAGTGCCCAGGGAGCTCGGTGTCATAGATATCAACGAGGCCGGGAGGAGGCTGGCGACGGCGATCACTACGCCGGAGAACAGGTTCAGCTGCTTGTTGAGCTTCCACGTTATTCTCACCATCATGCGTACCACTCCTTTCACCATTGTCAATATGGGTTGAAGTGGGGTCTTGAAGAAGGTCCTCATTAACGTCACCTGCATGCATGGAAGGGTGAGGAAATGGGATAGCAGAATCGTCCAAAGGAAAAGAAGTATGGCCGAGGGGACCTGGTGACATTTCGTGAGGCGCGGAGCCCTCTGAAGTGCGATATGGGAACTTGGCCTCGACGAAATGAACGCCGCGAGAAGAATAAACACGTCGCGACTGAAAATCATAGACTCGATAACCCTTTTGCGAAGAGGGATAACCAATGAAGACTCCCAGTCTCCCCCTTTCGACGAACCTGTCGAGTCGGTTGCTGGTGTCTTTGGCGTACAC